GAGGAAGAGACATCAGATGTTCGAATAGCTCTGTTATTTTCGAATGACGTGAACGATCAAGACCAAACGCAGTAACAGGATATGAATACAATTGTGATGATGAGTCTGCGGCCATGTAAGAGGATAATCTTGGCTCACTTGTTGCACAATCATTTTTTGTTGATGAGACGCCGAATTCAGTATTTCGTTTGGGTCTTTCTTGAGCAAAACTATTTGAATTTTTTGATAAATCGACAGTCGTTTCTTTTAAACCCATACCTATTTCTTTGAATATTGATCAGATGGAGTGATGAAATGTAAGCTGAAACTAATTTGATTCGGTGTAGTTGTGTCTATCTTATGACAGTCTTCAGGTAGGTTTCTAAACCGTTGAATATCAGATTGTGTACAGCAATTAGGTTTAGACTTCGAATGAAGTTTATGCGAACGTTTGATTAGTGATTTGAAAGAGATTTTTGTTCGATCGATGAACTTAATTCGACAACGTCTTGTCAATCTTTTATAGACCAAAGCTTATTTATCAAATGAAAAAGCGTTTCTCGACATCGTCCAGTTGAAAAGAATATTGCTAGTCAAGATAGACGAATCCAATAATGCAATATTTGGGTGACTTTGATCACTGATGTTATTTCTAGAATAAATATACTACTCACTGCTGCTTGTGCTCATATTCATGCAGCTTATATATTGCGAAACAAGAGTCATGACATAAATTTTTCTGTGGCTCTGACGACAAAATGATTGTTTTCCTGTGATTAATAAAAGTACACGAAGGCGTAAAAAAATACCGAGCAGGTTTCTCATTTCTTCATTTGCATTCGTCATTTGTTTTTTTTCTTTCTAATAGACGATAATTCAACAGAAGAAAAATACTGAAGAGAAAAGAAACCATGGCGTGTCAAAAGATATGTTTATGATTCATCAATCTGTAGAAAATAGATATGACGCAGAACAGAACAAGCATCAATATTAACATTAGATAAGTACTGAATGAGTCACCATGATCGTGGCATCTAGTATTTTGCAAATATGTCCGAAAAATATTATGCAGTTAGTTATGGTTTTGTATAATGGGCAACAAGGATATTGCGAAGGTCGTTACTTTAGGTCATCTAGAAAATTCATCAGCACAATTCAAAAATCCTTTTAATTGTGAAAACAGTAGAGATTCTACGACGTATGTAAAAGAAAATCAATTTAAGGTTTTACAATTTGTTGCTGTCGTCTTATATGCAAAATAATCAATGCTATTCTCATTTTTGTTTCTCTTACAATGGAGGTGTTTGTACTGTAAGTTGAATTTACCAGATATTTTTGCATCAATAGAAAGCTCTCACCGCCAAACTAACAAGGTTAAAATATTAGCGGCTGTTGGCGTACTCTTATGGAGATATTCGATTTTTAAGATATTCATGGCTAGGGTATATAGGTACCTTAGGATTATTTATATTAATTTTTTTATGCAATTAACCGAGTACTTTACTCGTAGACTATTACAATCTTTGTGAAGCTTATTAATAGAATTAAGATCATCCATAATTTCCATGTCTTTTGGGACCTAGGTAGTATTAATATACATTCAACTCAACTGATAGCTATCAAAATCTTTAACTTATCAATAGCTTCAATTTTTATTTCTGCTGAAAACAATAGATTATATAATATACCATTTCAACAAAGTTGGCTGTCTTGATTAGGAAACACTGATCTAAATTTTGTTAGATCAGTTTAAGTTGTCCAAGAATCAAGGAAGAGAAGGAATTTTTTACCCACCAAAGGACGCAGAACTTCATTTAAAAAAGTGTGATGTTTATCATCGCTACTTTTTCCTGATTTTGAAGCTCTTACTACAACATTTGGTGGTACAATTAGATTTTTGTCCACCCTTTTACCGAATTGATTTTCTTTTTCTTGAAGGATAAGTAAGAACTTTTCTAATAAATGACCATTAGCTGATGTAGCCGGTTGAACCGTGTAAGAATGCGTGGTGTTGTATTTCTTTTTGACAGTCACTTCTGTTGTTCTTTCTCCAGTAAAAGAAAGAGTCCTTGGAGAAATGTACTCCTGTTGAAACGAACAATGATCGCTGTTGAAAATTTGATGGGAAGAATACTTTGATATTAAGCTTCTTTTGCTTTCGATTCAATTTTGAGCATCTGAAACATATTTATGTATTGAATTAAGACATGTGTTTGAAGACTAGATTAAGGTTTAATTACCATTTAAACTGCAGAATTTTTTTTTGATTTAGTTCGAGTAATAATTTTATTAACTCTTCTTGACGATATTCTATTTTGTCTTTTAAAACTATTAATAAACGATTTGCTTGCCTTGAATTCATCCCAATTCAATTCTCTTGCTTTTTGAATTGCATATAATTCAAGATCAGCGTCATGAACGGCATCCTTTTCAATGGTTCTTTTCAAATAAAATTGATCAAACATAAATTCTTTAATTTTTTCTAATTTGTCTGATCGTGTGCCATTGTTTTTAATATATTCTCTGAATCTTGTAATATAATTCATAGATTTGATCTTTTTAAATCGGTTGGAAATAGTTGCGAATCTGGCATTCGGATGTTGGTCAACCCATTGGATAATATTTTCCATTTCTTCTAATGTAAACCGATTTTGTAAATTAAAATAACCATTTTCATCATAATCATCAATTTCATCATCGTTTTCTTCTTCAGCCGTCATTTCATCATATTCATCTTCAAATTCCAGAGTATCAAAAGTATACAACTCACTAAAGTAGCTGTCCTTAAGTGACTTCAGAACTTCGAATAATTGTTCTGCAGCAAAAATTTCATCAGTAGTTGTTGCTGAATTTTCAAATCCATATTCAGTTTGAGCCAAATGAAGAAGATGTTCAGACCACCAAGTGACGCATCAATGCACTTTCGGTTTTCAATATTATA